CCCCAAAACCCCAAAACCCCAAAACCCCAAAACCCCAAAACAAGGTTGGCATGTTGAACGTGACAGGTGTTACGTCAAATAGAAGTTAAAAATCTTGCAATATTAATAATAATTTATAAAATGAACGTAACAAAATCGCACTCTCCAAACTCTCAAAGCAGTGAAAGTTCTCAAAAGTCTCCCAAAAAGAGGGAAATTAAGGAACAGAGCAAAAATGAAGACCAAGAAGACCTTTTGAAAGACTTACAAGTAGGAAGAAGGAAAAATAAAGAGAGAAAATCTGGAAAGCAAAGAGCAAAAGAATTTAGAGAGAGAAAGAAGCAATACTACCTTAATCTAGAGAAACAAAATGCTGGACTCCAACAGCAAGTTAAATTTTTGAACCAAGAAAATGAAAGACTTGTTGGCCTCCTTCGAACAAACAATATTCAGTTCTCTGAGTCAATTAATGACGTATGTCCAAAACCTTTATTATTCACTTTTTGCTTCATGAATTTGTATTATTACATAACTGTAATTTTTCATGCAACGATTTGTTTAAAATTTCACAATCTCTGAAATTTTCTTTGATCCTAAACCATTATTCATCTAAAATTATAGACCAACGAAGATGATTGCCAAACTGAAGGTCAAAAAATATCTCCAAATATTGCTAAAATGGATAAACTTGGAAGTATTTCTACCTCTAAAGATAATTTGGAACTGCCTTCCCCATCAAAAAGATCTGACCTAAAGCGACCCATCCAAGGATCAATGAACACTAAAATGGTGATGAACCCAGCCCCGGTTCCTCCAGCTTATACCAAAAACACTATGACTAGTTTTATGACTATCAGCAAACTGATGAGTCTTCTAGGTAAATAATTTTGAAGTTTTCAAAAATATCATTAATAGAACATTTTTATCCAAAAACAAAGCATTGTGGCGACATATTTATTAATTACTAAATAATCCATATTTGTGCCAAGTCCCACACCAATTAAATTAGCAATATTTCTGATGTATTGATTACAAATTATCTATCTTCTTGGTGCATTCAGATGCTTAATTCGGTTTAATTTTTCACTAAAAATTGATGTTGTGGCAGCATTAAAATTTAAAGTCCTTCGAGCAAGTATTAAAATTGCTAAAGGAATCAGCAATGTTTATTACTCAAGAAGGAGAGTCATATCTAAAGACAAAAACTTTGAAAAAAATCTGTAATCAATCTATCCCAATTTATTTCTCAATCTACACTAATCTTTTAAAATCGACACTCTTGTTAGCTCCAGACATAAAATTCGTTACGATAAAATCTGAATTCGCCACATATAACAAAAATTTATTCGACTTTAGGAGAAACTAGCACAAATAAAGGATATGCTCTTGACCAAAATGCTCGACAGGCCATTCCATTTCCTCTAATGAACACCCAGAACTTAGTGAACCCAGACCCATCGAATTTAAAGGTAGGATCAGCTGATAGGCCCATCCTGCTAGATGAGGAAGATAGGAAATCTTTTCGGATATTTAAACGGACGTCACAGGAACCCATTAATAATTAATTAATCAATTGCTTACCACCATAAAGGGGTTTTGGGGTTTTGGGGTTTTGGGGTTTTGGGG